GATGACATTTGTCATTTGATAAGGTGATCCACACATTGGCAAATGAGTTGGCAAAGTTCTACAAGAAAGGAACCGCAACAACATTAAATCTAAAATAAATAAGGATCCGTGTCTATTTATGTAGTGAAAGTGCCACGGATCCTCCTTTAAAATGGCCTCACATATTTACAAGAAGATGACAGTTGTCATTCGATAAGGTGATCCACACATGGGCAAATGAGTTGGCAAAGCTCTACAAGAAACCGTGAGATACGTAGAAATTGCAAAGATCATTTCTGAATGCTTTTCGTGGATCTGATAGTTAAACTCCTAGAAATTTAGAGATGTAGTAAATGATATATTTCTCTTTGCCCAGGTGAGGAACCGCAACAGCATTAAATCTAAAATAAATAAGAATCTGTGCCTATTTATGTAGTGAAAGATCCACGGATCCTCCTTTAAAATATCCTAATATTTACAAGAAGATGACATTTGTCATGGTGATCCACACATGGGCAAATGAGTTGGCAAATTTCTACAAGAAAGCTTTAAAGAAAAGTCGACGAAGATGGGATTCGAACCCATGCGTGCAGAGCACAATGGATTAGCAGTCCATCGCCTTAACCACTCGGCCACCTCGTCTGGCTTTGGTGCTTTTAGCGGTTAGACGCGGTCCGTGCTATACGCGGTCACCGTGAGATCCGTGAAAAGTAGACCAGCTCAGCGAATGGCTCATGTTCAAATTTTAGAAATCTACAGCTTGAAAGAAGAGCAGAAATTGCAAAGATCATTTCTGAATGCTTTTCGTGGATCTTATAGTTAAACTCCTAGAAATAAGAGATGTAGTAAATGATACATTCACCAAGGATGTTGAAAGCTTTGCTACACTTGATGCACTCCAATGCTAGAAATGTGTACTTAGCGCTTCTTAAGTAGCATGGAATGCATGAATTCCCTTTAAATTTTGTCTTCAAGTGTGTGGAGAATAGGTCTGCTATCGTTTACTGGACTTCATCTAAAGGATTGTGTTTTGTAGTCTAGTTTGTGTTAGTTCTACAGATAAGATTGGGAATGCTGATAATGTGAATTTTTGTTTGATTGTTGCAATTAAGACAAGGCTTAGGGTTAAGCTCTACCTATCAGGGGGAAAAACAGTTCTCTTTGCCCAGGTGAGGAACCGCAACAACATTAAATCTAAAATAAATAAAGATCCGTGTCTATTTATGTAGTGAAAGTGCCACGGATTCTCCTTTAAAATGGCCTCATATTTGCAATAAGATGACATTTGTCATTTGATAAGGTGATCCACACATTGGCAAATGAGTTGGCAAAGTTCTACAAGAAAGGAACCGCAACAACATTAAATCTAAAATAAATAAGGATCCGTGTCTATTTATGTAGTGAAAGTGCCACGGATCCTCCTTTAAAATGGCCTCACATATTTACAAGAAGATGACAGTTGTCATTCGATAAGGTGATCCACACATGGGCAAATGAGTTGGCAAAGCTCTACAAGAAACCGTGAGATACGTAGAAATTGCAAAGATCATTTCTGAATGCTTTTCGTGGATCTGATAGTTAAACTCCTAGAAATTTAGAGATGTAGTAAATGATATATTTCTCTTTGCCCAGGTGAGGAACCGCAACAGCATTAAATCTAAAATAAATAAGAATTTGTGCCTATTTATGTAGTGAAAGATCCACGGATCCTCCTTTAAAATATCCTAATATTTACAAGAAGATGACATTTGTCATAGTGATCCACACATGGGCAAAACGAGTTGGCAAATTTCAAGAGCGAAGAAAAGTTGACGAAGATGGGATTCGAACCCATGCGTGCAGAGCACAATGGATTAGCAGTCCATCGCCTTAACCACTCGGCCACCTCGTCTGGCTTTGGTGCTTTTTGCGGTTAGACGCGGTCCGTGCTAGACGCGGTCACCGTGAGATCCGTGAAAAGTAGACCAGCTCAGCGAATGGCTCATGTTCAAATTTTAGAAATCTACTGCTTGAAAGAAGAGCAGAAATTGCAAAGATCATTTCTGAATGCTTTTCGTGGATCTTATAGTTAAACTCCTAGAAATAAGAGATGTAGTAAATGATACATTCA